TCATACTTATATATATATATATGAAGCTGGAAACTCCTCTGCTAAGAGTCGAAAAACTCCTCCTTATAGGCAATTAAAATTTCCTCAACCAGATTTCTCCTCTGCCAAAGCCGGTCCTCGTTTCTCAGCTCGTCCATGTAGCAGAAATTTTTCATGTTGTAGGCCCCTTTGCCTCTTGATTCTCCTTGCAGTTGGAAGCATCCCTCTTGTAGGTCTTCCTCCACAAGTCCCCCTATAGACTGAAATGTTATTGCTGCAGGCTCTCCTCCTCCTGCAGAATCCTCTTTCAGCAGCAACAAGAACAGCAAAAGTAATGACAAGAAGCAGAAGCTACAACAGCAGTGGCTTCAAGCAACTATAGTCAACTTCAATCAAACAAGTAGAAGCAGTTCTAAACACACAAGGTTAATGACTAAGTACGAGATGAAGACATCAAGTTTTACTCTTGTAGGGGTGTAAACGAGTTGAACATGATTGAGCTGAAGTTTTGTTTGTGTTCGACTCTTTTGTATTAACACCTGTTCAAAATTGGCTCGTGCTTGAATTAGGCTCGTAATGAGCTGAACACGAACAAAGATAAGAAATTTTGCCCATATAACTTTTGAACTCTTTAACATTATCACAAATAATAAACTGAATTGCCAGAACTTCTTTTAATGGCCTCAATCCGTGTTTATGTATATTTATGGTAAGGAAAAAGAGGATTATCTCACGGGAGAGGGCATAGTTCTTGAGGTCACTGACCCCAAAACCCACACATGGAAGAATCAAGACCATATCATTATGTCTTTGCTAGTCAACTTAATGACCATTGAAGTGAGAGAAAATTTTTTACTTTACAAAACTGCCAAAAAAATCTGGGAGGTTGCAAGAGAAACATATTCTATCACTAAGAGCAAAGTAGATTTGTTTGAGATCGAAACTAAGCTTCATAACCTTGGGCAAAGCTAAGTGTCATCTAATACTTCAACACTCTCTGATAAAATATTATTTATAATTGAAATTGTTTGAATCACATGTGTGAAAATGTCCACATAATGCTACGAAGTTCAAATCCATCATCGAGAAGAATCGAACCATCAAATTCTTAGTATGGCTAACTCAGAAATTGGATGAAGTAAGAGGGAGAATCATGGGAACAAAGCCACTTCTATTACCTATGAAGCATTTGCTGAAGTAAGGAAAGAAGAGAGTAGGAAAAAACTGATGGTAACTGGAAATGTGGGTTCACTAAGTACTAAATGCACTGTCTTGTACTTCAATAATTCTTCCCATGGCTCAAAGCCAAAAAAGAATCGTCCCACATGTAACTATTGCAAGAAGATTGGGCATATAAAAACAAATATTGGAAACTTCATGGCAAGCCTGTAGATTGAAAACCTGGATAGAGATCAAGAGAAAAAGACAAATGATGTTATTACATCAGAAGGATCAACTGAATCATTCACCAAAGAACAACTTGATGTATTAAAAAACTCCTTGGAGGTAATTCAATGCAACACACTAACCTCGTGACACCAAGATAATATATAATTCTCTCATCTTTCCAATAATGTGAGATTTAAAACTTCGATCATAGATTTAGGAGCTTCCCATCATATGACCGGAGACATCAATACTCTAGTCAACTATCAAGTGACTCTTAAGATCGGTAAGAGTTACAGACGAATCACACTCAAACATTATTGGTATAGTAGAGGTGGAGCTGTCTTAGGATATTACACTTTCCTCTATTTTATATGTTCTAAAGTTAGACCGCAATTTGATTTCAATCTATAAGCTTACTCATGATTTAAAATGTATAGCTAGATTTCTTGCATACTTGTGTATTTTAGGTGGTGAAGTCGGGAAAGGTAATTGGTAGTGCTGAAATGTGTTAAAGCTTATTTTTTTTATCAATGTGCAACTCGCCAAGTTGCCCAGCACACTAGAAATAATTATCCCACAAGCTAGTATAATCCCTCACACCATTTTTTCATTATCCGTAGTGATATTCGCGGAACTTCAAAGGTGCAAACCCTAAGTGAGGCTAGATGATTTGTCTCATTTATTGATGATCACATTAGAATTACTTGGGTATTCCTAATTAAGAGGAATATTGAAACAACCAAAATATTTCAAACCATTCATTACATGATTCAAACTCAATTTCAAAACAAAATTCAAACCCTCTAAACTGATAATGTAAATAAATATTTTAACTTTATTCTTGGAGTCTTTTTTTCAAAAAAGGGAGTCATTCATGTGAGTTTATGTATTAATACCTCACAATAAAATGAGATAGCTGAGAGAAAAAAGAAGTATCTCCTTGAGGTATCCCACTTAATTATAGTGCCTCATCAAGTTTCAAAATATTTTTGGGGAGAAGCAATTTTTACTGCAACATATGTTATCAATCGAATGCCTAGTTAGACACTTAACTTCAAAACACCACTCTATATTTTAATGATTAGCTCTCCCCACATCAAAGCTTTCTCTTATGCTATACTATTTAAAATTTTTGAGCCATGCTTCTATGGAGTCACGTTCTTCAAGCTCTTTATTGGACATCCATTTGGCTGGATGGCACCATCAACAACTTCAACCCTTTTGGTCAAATAATTGGTATTTAACATACAATGAATTATATTGAACATGGTTTCCTTTTTTTCCTTTCCCTCCGCTATTTTATTGTGGTGAATATCCTGTCATTGCAATAATCTTCGATGGTCTTAGATATTAATTCTTCACCTTGTTCTTTGTGCTTTTATTGTGAAGCCACTTACTTGGATTATCCACTCTTTGAGTTTTGTTTGAAATATATGAGATGCTTATAACTTCTCCTTTTACTTTTTAGCTATATATATATATATATATATATATTTATAATTTAGAGAAATAATGATTACTTCCAAATGATGCTAGAGTTACAGGTCCATAGAACGGCTTTGTTGTATGATATGTCACTTTTTGGTGGGATGATTCTTCTTAATTACTTATTTATAGCACATAATTCAAAAAAATATTCTAGAGGGTTGATGTGAAGCGATTATGATTACTTGTTTATATGTACAAAGTATAGAGATTGCTTGTTGATTTATTCTCCTTTGCAAACTAATAAGAGAATAGAATCTCCTTATTTTATTGTGCAATTTGTATTGGTCATGAACTTGATTACAATATTTATGCTAATATTCTGAAGCATAATGATCAAATTTCTTGCACTTTTAAATGTTGAATGTTCGTTTTGTCGTACTTGAATATTTCCTTGTACCCATCCTCTTCTAGGGTTTTGGTTTCTTTCATTATTACCGTGAATTTCACATCCTCGTTCATGTTTGTGACCTCTCCCTAAACCTCTTTCACAACCATCTACCTAATTCTCAGTGTAGGTCTCCTAGATTTTAGGAGTACACCCTAGGTGAGAACCTATCTACCTTTTTTTTTAGTATAGGCTTCTTAAATTTTAGGAGCACACCCTATGTGAGAGTTCATCCACCTATTCTTTTATTCTAGCACGATTAGAGTGACTAGTCTGTGGACTACACAACTTCACAAAATATTTACAAAAATCAAATAAAATCTCTTTTGCATGTTAAAAAGAAGTCGACATAAAAAAGACTTAAACATAGCTTTTGTGTGAAAATCAAAGAAATTTTCTATGAAAATTTATACAAGTCCATGGTTAGTCATTTGGATCAATGTTAAAGACTGCCCCCCATAGATTGTCGAGTTGGTAACTCTTATTCAAGATTGGGAAGCACACTGTCCAGCTCTAAACCCCAACTTTTACCAATGTCTTACACCCAGTCCTGATCTTTTGCTCGTGATTTTTTTGCGATTCGTTTTTTTGACTTTCGTGTTGGGTTTTCTCGCATTATTTATTTTTCTTGCAAGTTTATTTAAATCTTGCAAGTTTATTTAAATCTGTAAATCTGTTGCAAATCATACTACGCTCGCAATATTAATCACGCAACAGTAATAGATGCCCATGTGCGTTTTTAGAGTTTATCTACAACATTTTAACTTTACTGTATTTTACTTTTCAAAATATTTTTTATTTACCTGTAATTCACTTATTTTACATGCAAAATCAAAACTGAAACATAACAAAACCAAACATTGACACCAAAACCATAAAACATAAATCACCAATTTCAAACACTTAAACCCTGGAACTATTGCGATGACAGAAGGTTCGGAGCTAAATTCGTGGGCAGTATGACGAGGAACTTAGACCGAGCAGCAAGAGGATCTTCTTCAGCAATCTCTTTTCTAGTCTAAATAACAACCCATAAGACTTCAAGGTAGCTCGTCTATCGTGGTGTAAATCTTCATCCCTTTTTAAGGCTTTTTCAACACTATATTATGCAGCGTAAGTTTTAATTCACTTTAGGTTTTGAGGATATCGTTCGTTACGACATAAATCCTCATCTTTTTGCGGGCTATTTGCATGATCAGTTATTATGCAAGTGTAAGCCCTAAATAATAAAATTGACAGGATTGAACATTCAAATAACATCTTCTCCACAACATAGCCGCACAGTAGGATAGTCTGGGAAGTCGCTGAGGTTTCTCCTCAGCCTCAGGATCTGTGACATCCCCTACATGTTCCTTCATTTGGACTCTTGAAATAACTGTTCATATTTGAGCCACTCCCACTTACTTTTCTACCTACTATTCACGTCCTACCTTGAAAACCTGAACTTTGAAATCTTGAAGACTAATACATCTGATCATTATCGAGATTTTTCTCAAGTGACCCCAGGACTTGCCTCTATAGGGAACTTGGAACCCAGGTAAAATAAACCCTATTTAATATTTATATTAAATATGGGAACTTGTCGGTCACATATAAAATATTCGCAGGTCAAACGAATGTCACAAATCTCTTAGTTTGCAGGATTGAGTCTATCGCCGAGGTATACACTCATATTTTGGAAATGTGTAGTATTCACGGTATCAGACACAATTATGCAAATTATTGGATGAATGAGATTCATTTGGTCACATTTTTCAAAAATTAAAACACGTTACTTTCAAAACTCAAACTATATACCTCTTATATTTAAATTAAATTTTAAAATTATTTTCAATATTTTTGATTTTCAAAAAGTTAACCGACAGAGACCAGCTCACTGTGTACTCATAAGTCATCATACACTCACACTCTATACATGCATGATTTATTTTCAGTACTTTCATAAATATAATCTCAAACTTACAATTCTAACTTTCAAAACTTCACACACAATTCTTATGTAATTAGATATCTAATACAAATCAAATCTTCACACAATTCTTATTAACTTTTTTTTAAGTGAAGCACACCTTCTAAGGCATAGGCTTATCACGCCAAAGTGGTATAAATATTAATATCAAACTCTAGGTGTTACATATGTAAATATATAATAATTGTGTGGTATGTATGTAAATTTTCTATTTAATTTTGATGTCATACTTCATAAAGCGGTAATAATGCCATTTTCTATGTGATATTAAAATTGAAGTGCTATTTGTGTAAATAAAAAAAAAATTTAGGAGTTAGATATGTAAATACATGAAGAATTGAGTGCTATGCATGTAAATGCCCCTAAATATAAATAATATCACCCTTGTAATTCTATTCCTATGATTATTTATTCCTTTTACAGGGAATGGATGATCGGGTGGTACCGCCATCCATGACCGAGTTCACAAGACGCCTGATTCCAGGCGCCACAGTCCATCGCCTGCCAGCAGAAGGCCACTTCTCCTACTACTGCTTCTGCGATGATTGCCACAAACAGATCTTCTCCACTCTCTTCGGCATCCCTCAAGGCCCTCTCACAGCTATTTCTGAGAACGATTTATTCTCTCCTTCTCCCAAAGAACTCTCTGAACAATATCTTAGTTCTGAAGACTCTTTTCACCACGAACTATGACCACATTCTCTGAAGAATTTTCTCAGGTTTGATTTTTATATATACAGCTTTTTAACTCAAAATTTTAGCAAATTAGATGTTGACTACACACATGGATTAGTATTGGAGGGTTATTTATATTCAATTCGATCCATTCGCTTCGTTTGATTTCAATAGTTTTTACTTGACATTGGCAGAACCTTGGTTGATTCATTTATCACTTGTTTTTTGTGTGATATGGGCAAACTGAGCTATGGTGTTGTTAAATTGAAACGGCCAAAAAGTGCAAAATTGTAGTGGCTTGGTTGAAATAAAGAAGCTTTTCCTTTTTTTTTTTTTCTATCTGGAAAGATTTACATACACACACTTGATTCCTATCCTTTACATATCTAACCACTAAACTTTAATTTTTATTGTGGATAGGCAGTATACCGTGAGTCTGCTGTTATTCTCCCTTAATTATTTATTATTGTGTTTCATTTATTTTCTTCTTTGTCATGACGGTTTGATTTTCCCTCCAATTATACGAGGGTTAGGTTGAGTTGCATATATATTTGTTATTTGCTCAATGAGAAAATTAAAGAGTTCATTCCTCCTCAAAGTTTTTATGGTATCAGGGCAAAGAAACAAAATCCTACAGCAGACTAATAACCAAAGTCTTCCCTGTAGTCGTCAGTATTCCTCCGTTCTTTCAGCCGCACTCTCCAGGTAGCAGCGACGGTCTTCTTCAGGCAGCAAAATGTTTTCATCCAGGCACAAGCGGTTGTTTCCTCTCCAGGCAGCAGCGACGCCAGCTCACGTTCTGCGACCAAACCTGCACATTCTAGTGAAGCAGGTTCAGGATGCATCAACAACCAATTTTCTCTCTCTTGGAAATCCCATAGACCTTGAAATTTATTTCTCTCTCTAGCAAAATGACATGGAGGCCTCGACGATTGATTTTCTCTCTCTCATGCACAGAGTTCTCGGGTTTTATTTTCTCTTTCTTGCGGAAATCACAAAGACCTCAACGTGTTAAATTCAAAAGTGTCCGAGAAATACATCCAAAGGATAGAACTTTCTGTTAGGAAGTGATTACTAATAATGTACCTATCTTATAAATGAGAAGCCCAAACACAGTGCTGAACTTTAACAAAACTTTCAACACCCTCATAAAATCCTACCCACACATTCAGTCATCACTTCTAGCCTACCGCTAAAAATTTTGGCTGCATTGCTTTAGTTCATTTATATCATCCTCATCAGATCAAACTTGATCCCATGTCAATCAAATGCTTCTTTGCAGGCTACTACTTTTCAAATAAAAAGGGTTTAGATGCAACTATCCAGAAACAAAAAAATTTACAACTCCATGGATGTTACCTTCTTTGAAAACTAACTTTATTACATCAAATCTAACATTTAGGGGAAGAGTTGGAGAGAATATTATATTTGAGATATCATTCTGGAACCTCAAACTCACCTCCCTTATATTCTTGATGAACCTGCTATTGTTTCCACTATCACCAATCAACCTAAAAATGAACATATCACTCCACTAAATTCTTTCACAGCTCCCAACAAGAACCATAAATTCCGTGTGCACACCAGAAAGAAAAAAACTTTGTGAGTATGTAAGGGACAACATGCAAAATCAGGAATGAAAATCACCAAAATCAACTCCACACACTCTTACGTATTCATACAAAGATTGGATCAACACATCATGGCACAAAGAGGAAGGAGCATGAGAATACACAAAATAGTTGATAGAATAATTTGTGACATATGGAAAATTATCACCTTACAAATCTTTTTTTCATAACTTGGATAATGTGCAGGTCCTAACTTCAATCTAAGAGACTCTATTTATTTCTGCTTGGAAACAAGCCGTGGAAGAAGAGATTTATGCCCTTGAAAAGAATGGTATATGAACCATAACAACTCTGTCATCTGTGAAAAGAACTGTAGGATGTAATTATGTATTCATTGTTAAATATAAAGTAGATGGGAGCATAGAAAGATCCAAGACTAAATTTGTATAAAAGGTTTCGCTCAATTTTATGCAATTTACTTCTAGGAGACATTCACACCGTGGCGATACTCAAAACAGTAAGTAGGGTTGTAAACGAGTCAAGCTTGAGCAAGCTCAGACCCAGCTTGTGTTCGACTCATTCAAAGTTTTTCTAGTTCGAAATTGGTTCGTGAACAATGTGTTCATATTTGGTTCGATTTAAATATTCTTGTTCGTATTTAACTCAAAATTAACTTGTTAAAATTAATTGAAAAAAATAGATGTAGTCTTGGATTTGAACCTGGACCAAATCTGCGTAAAAGAAAACACATAACTACACTATCACACGAGCTGTTATGATTTAAACTTATATATATATGTATATGTATGTATGTATGTGTGTATGTCTGTATGTATGTGTGTGTATGTATGTGTGTATGTGTATGTGTGTATGTATGTGTGTATGTGTGTATGTGTGTATGTGTGTATGTATGTATGTATGTATATTATAAAAATAATTATATAATTTTTTTATTTCGAGCTAAAACAACTCGATCACGAACGAACAAAGAATGGTTCATGTTCGGCTCGTTTACTTAACAAACGAGCCGAACACGAGTTGTTTGCGAACAACGAGTTTTTTTGATAGCCCTAACAATAAGAGTATTATTGTTGCATTACTTAGACATTAAAAATGCATTTCTTAATGAGACTCTTGAGGAAGAAGTGTATATGGAGGTACCTCAAAGATTAAACAAGCAAACTAAAGATATCAATGTATGAGTTGAAACAATCTCCTAAGCATAGTTTGAAAGGTTCACCAATATTATTCTTGTTAATGGGTGTTATGTGTGTTAAGTTGATCATATTTTCTTTGTGAAATTAAATCAAGAATGTATGATAATCATTAATGTTGTATATATAAGTGACATTATTCTTACAAACAATGATGTGGGGGGGAACTTGAAAGAATCAAATGAATTATGGCTTTGGAGTTTGAGATCAAAGATCTTGGAACTTTAAGATACTGCCTAGGAATGACAATAGCTAGATTCAAAGAAGAAATTATCATTTCCCAGAGAAAAAAATACATTGACCTATTAAGGGAGATGAGAATGTTGGGATGCAAACGAATATACACTTATATGTATCATAATCGATGAGCATCAAAAGGAGATGATAACACTCTGGTTGAAAAAGAGAGGTATCAAAAACTTGTGGGGAAACTTATTTATCTATCACATATAAAACCTATTATTTTTTTTTTTTTTTTTTTTTGTGAGTATAATGAGCCAACATATGAACAATTCAAATGAAAATCATTTAGAAGCGAACTTTTGAATCCCGAGACACTTAAAAGATGATTTCAGGATGTGGATTGATATTCAAGATGACTGAGAACATTGACATTGAGATCTACACTAATGCTATTTGGGCAGGAAAACTGACTGATAGAAGATCTACCATGGGTTATTGTTCATTTGTATGGGTAACCTTGTTACTTGGAGAAGTAAAAAAATAACTTGTGGTGGCAAGAAAAGGTGTTGAATCTTATTATCTTGCCTTGACCCTAGCAATTGGTGAAGGGATGTGGCTAAAGAAACTATCAGTGAAACTTCACATAGAGAACTAAACTATTATTAAAATGTTCAGCGATAACCAACCATCAGTATTTCAAAGAATCTAATACGTCATGATTGAACCAAACATATAGAGATTGACAGACACTTCGTTTCTGAAAAGATCAATTGAGGGTTGGTTCAACTAAGCTATATCGCAACTCAATATCAGATCGCTGACATTTTTTCCTAGGCTCTTACTCGGCAGTATTTTAGTGATCCAAGCAGCAAGCTCAACATGTATAATTTATACAACCCAACTTGAGGGGGGTGTTGATATGCATCTGCAGTTTAAAAAACTATATGTCAGCTATTACATTTGATGGGAAGAAATTATTCTCTCTTAATTATCCATTGTTGTGTTTTTATTTCTTTCCTTTTTGATCATGATGATTTGATTTTCCCATATATATATATATGAGAGTAATACTCCCAAAATCTTCATTTACATAAGTGGATTTCAGTTTTTGAAAGTTAAAATGACGGTAATTTTTTTGCGATATTTAAGATTGATTGGTATAACTTCAAAAGCAAAATTTAGGTATTAGATGTGTAAATTCATAAGAATTGTGTGGTATATTTGTAAAATCCTCCCTCCTTTTTCATTTATCCGTTCACTTTCACTGAAGAAATTTTTTGTTTGAATATTTTGATCAAAACTTGATTATTATGAGTTTGACAATAACATAATATTGTTCTTGGATATTCTTGTAAGAGATTAGTTATGATGGGGCCTTGCTAATGCTACCTTCTCTGTCCGGTTTCATTTTGCTGCATTTTTCCTTCTCTCCATTTGTCAATCAGACTAATGTATTGTTGCTCATATATATATATATATATATATATA